TCCAAACTGTATCTGCAGATGACCATCTTCTCTGCTTTCCCGATGTGGGCAGCTTGCAGCTGACACCCAGCATTTACTCCAAGCTGTCACCGAAAAGGACCACAAGGTATTTAAGACAAAATGCAGTTGTGCAGACTCCAGTGCATGAGCAGAGACAACACCTTCCCTTCAGGGGAAAGTTTACTCCCTAAAGAAATCAACACCACCACTCACTCCCCTCTCCCTGAGACCAAACAGTGACATGGGGGGCTCTAGAATCGACTACTGCCAGACAGGGTTCCCCACCTTTCCCCTGCATCATCTTCCTCAGAAGCCATGGCTAAGGAGACTGTCACTGAATCCTGTACCTGGGACTCTCCTTCCACGTCTGCATTTCAAATCTCAAATCCTCCCTGTATTAGTCCATTCTTGCATTGCTATAAAGAAATACTTGAGACTAGATAATTTATAAAGAAAAGAGGTTTAATTGGCTCAGGGTTTCACAGGCTGTATAGGAAGCATGATTCTGGCATCCACTCAGCTCCTAGGGAGGCCTCAGGAAACACAGTCATGGCAGAAGATGAAGGAGGAGCAAGCACGTGACATGGCCAGAGCACGAGCAAAAGAAAGACGGCAGAGAGGAGTCACCTTTGCACGACCAGGTCTCACAGGAACTCACTCACTATCACAAGAACAGAACCAAGAGGATAGCGCTAAACCACTCATGAGAAACCCACCCCTGGGATCCCGGCACCTCCAACACTGGGGAATACGACTGAATGAGCTTTGGAGGGATACAGAGACAAACCACGTCCCTGTCTAGGCTTTCTTGCCACACTTAGACTCCCCGTGACTCATGGCCAGTCTCCCTTTCTACACATGAAAGGGCAGGACCTGCCTCAGTGATCCTCCCCGAAGAGTGCAGTGGCAGCCAAAGGCTGATTAATCAGTCGCTTCAGCCTTGGACTCTGTGGCTCTGGCATCAGCGTCTTGGCTGTGCACAGTCACCACTGCCCCGAGTCAGTCCAACCCACGCTGACCAAGTGCTGAGCCATCCGCTTGACCTCAACGTTCCCCATGTGGTTCAGACCTGGGAACGCCCAACGCTTTTCTGCTTCCAGACTGATCTGCTGTGAAATCCCAGTGTACCCCCTCATGCTGCTGTTCACCATCTTCCCAGCCTTGGTGCAGCCCCTTCCTGCCCCGCCAAGAGACGACCTCCCCACACCTCACCATCTGTATTCTACTCATCCTCACCCCAGCCTTGCCAAACTCTCAAACACCACAAGTGGCCTTCTTAGCAGAAGACTCTCACCTCAGGCAAGTTTCAAACAAGACACACCCCACAGCTTCCCACACCCGTGGGGGGCCAGTTCCTGAGGCTACATCAGCCCGAGTGGCCGCACAGATGCAAGCTCACACCCAGGCACAAGGCGAGAGGGCCAACAGTTACTCAGAGGGCAGGCAGATGCCGGAGATCCAACGTGTTTGGGTATGCCATGGAAACAGAGAGTTCAGGACAGTGCTGGGGACAGCTCTCAACGTGAACCCGAAAGGAACTGGAGCAGGACCCAAGCAGACGCCTGCACCCCTACGTCCATAGCAGCGTTGTTCTCAAGAGCCAAGAGGTGGAAGCAACCAGTGTTCATAAACAGATGAATGGATCAACGAAACCTGCTGTGTATGTCCGTGCAATATCACCCTTTAGAAGGAGGAAAATTCTAGGACCTGCTACTACCTGGGTGAAGTGTGAGGGCATTACGCTAATGTGAAATAAGCCAGTCACAAAAGAACAGACACTGTGTAATCCCACTTACATCCCTTATGTAGTCAAACTTGCAGAGAGACAAAGTAGAATGGAGCTCCAGGGGCTGGGGTCAGGGGAGGGGAACAGGAAGTGAGTGTTTAACGGGTGGGGAGGGGGACAGGAAGTAAGTGTTTAACGGGTGGGAAGGGGGACAGGAAGTGAGTGTTTAACGGGTGGGGAGGGGGACAGGAAGTGAGTGTTTAACGGGCACAGAATTTCACTTTGGAAAGATGAAAAACTTGTAGAGATGAATGCTGCCTTTTGGTGGCACGCCAATGCAAATGCACTAATGCCACTCAACTATACACTGAAAAATGGTTAAGATAATACATTTTGGCCTTTTTGGCTAGAACGACCAGCTTCCAGTACTTTGCCAAAATGACAAACACAGAGGGAAAGAGGAGAGGCACCCAAAGTGTGTTCTCTATGCCTTCTAGAAAGCAGAGTCCTTCCCGTGGCCACATACATGTGAATCTATAAGAAAGGCGATATTGTAGATAGCAAGAAAATGGGGACTGTTCAAAAAGGAAGCCCCACAAGTGTCACCATGGCAAACTGGGAGAATCTACAGTGCTCCCCGGCGTGCCGTTGGCATTGTGGCAAACAAACAAGTTAAGGGCAAGATTCTTGCCAAGAGAATTCATGTGTGTACTGAGCACATCAAGCACTCTAAGAGCTAGATGGCTTCCTGAAACGCATGAAGGAAAATGATCAGAAAAAGAAAGAAGCCAAAGAGAAAGGTACCTGGGTTCAACTGAGGCACCATCCTGCACCACCCAGAGCAGCGCACTGTGTGGGAGCCAATGGAAAGGAGCCTGAGCTGCTGGAACCTCTTCCCTGTGAGCTCACGGAGTAATAGGTGTTAACAAAATAAGACCTCTGGACTATAAAAATGTCTCCCTTTATTGAGCAGAAGTGCAAATTATTTAAAAGAAATGTTTAAAGCAAATTTTAATTGTGTCCTATTATGTAATGTCTTTACTATCCAAATTTAATGTGTTTCTTGCTGAAAGATGTGAGGTCGTTTATTGTACAACAAGTCACTCAACTGGTTAGAAAACGACCAGATATTATTCATGGAAGAAATAAAATAACTTACAAAAATAAAAAATAATAATAATTACCTTTGTGTTATATATATTTTACCACAATAAAAAATAATTTTAAAAATAGAACCTGGCCAGGCACGGCGGCTCACGCCTGTGATCCTACCACTTCGGGAGGCCAAGGCAGGCAGATTGCCAGAGCTCAGGAGTTCAAGACCAGCCTAGGGAACATGGTGAAACCCCATCTCTACTAAAATAGAAAAAATAACCCGGGCATGGTGGTGTGTGCCTGTAGTCCCAGCTATTTGGGAGGCCGGGGCAGGAGAATTGCTTGAACCCGGAAGAGGGAGGTTGCATGAGCCAAGATCACACTGCTGCACTCCAGCCTGGGCAACAGAGCGAGACTCCATTAAAAAAAAAATAGAATCCAAGAAGCTAATTTACAAGCGGCTTTACTGTTACTCAGGAAATCAGCTATCTCAGATGAAAGTTCACACTAACAGCCTGAAGCACAAAAACAGTCCTTGGCTGACAGACATGCTAACATAGCCAATACCTACAACTCTTCCTCAGCCACCTCACGCCTCCACTGCCCAGTCTCCTCTAGGGACGGAAACTTGACTCAGGGGACTCAAGGCATAGTGGTTGCTGGCACTGAGGCTGAAAGGGCTCCTGGGATCCCGATTGGGTATTTTATCCACTCAGCTAGGGCTTGGAGATACCCACACGACTGCTTGCCCCTCCCTTGAAAAACAGTTGTGTCAGGCCATTCTTGCATTGCTAGAAATAAATACCTGGGACTGTGTAATTTATAAAGAAAAGCAGTTTAGGCCAGGTATGGTGGCTTATGCCTGTAATCTCAGCACTTTGGGAGGCCAAGGCAGGTGGATCGCTTGAGGTCAGGAGTTTGAAACCAGCCTGGTCAACATGGTGAAACCCTGTCTCTACTAAAAATACAAAAATCAGCCAAATATGGTGGCACAGGCCTGTAGTTCCAGCTACTCGGGAGGCTGAGGTACAAGAATCACTCGAACCCAGGAGGCAAAGGCTGCACTGAACCAAGATCATGCCACTGCACTCCAGCCTAGGTGACAGAGTAGACTCTGTCTCAAATAAATAAATAAAAAGAAAAGAGGTATCATTGACTCATGGTTCCACAGGCTTTACAGGAAGCATCTGCTAAACTTCTGAGGAAGCCCCACTACAATCATGGCAGAAGTTTAAGGGGGAGCAGGCTTGTCACATGGCCAGAACAGGAGCAAACAAACAGGGTTGGGAGGTGCAGGAAGTCCCACACACTTAATGACGAGATCTCACAAGAACTCACCATCTGGGTTGAAGGCTCATCTTTCGGTGGAGACAGCACAAGCCATGAGGGATTCACCTCCAGCACCCGGACACCTCCCACCAGGCCCAGCCTCCAGCACTGGGGATGACAGCACTGGGTGGGCGCAGGGGCCAGACTGTATCAGCAGCCCATGGCCTCCATAAGGTTACACATCCCAGCAAGGGAAACCCACAAACACCAGTGGTCCCGGTAGCCTCAACTTGCCCCAACTGCCAGAAACGGTCCTGGTCACAGCAGCGATGGAACAAGGGCAAGGGGGGCAATGGCCGGCTCTCTGGTCCCTCTCCACTGGCAAATGAATTTGTTTACCCAGCAAAGTCCTCTGGGAATGAGCACATTCCAGTCCCAGCCTGCATGTATTCGGGTGAGAGGAGCTTTTCCCCATACGCGAGCTACTGCCATCACTGAAGCCGAGCTGCAGCTGGAAAGAATTGTCCCCACCGGGGAACTCTCTGTTGCTCTAGCAGCAGAGAGTCTCGCTTCTCCAATTCGGTCATTTGAGTGCTGCCACTCACAAGAGCAGACTGTCCTCACCCTCTCAGTCCTCTGGAAGTATAGAATGAGCCAAACTCCCAGGACCTCAGCCTGCCTTAGCCCTCGGTCCTGCCTCTAGTCCTGAAGATCCTCCAGTCCTCCCCGCAGTCAACACTGACGCTCTCCTTATGAAATAATCACCACCTGCCAGTGCAGGTCTGACTCCTCCTGGACCGTAGGAGACCCGAATCTGAGCCAGTCGCAGCCTCAGTACTGCCAAGTTCTCACACAACACACTCGTGCTTGTCCCCCGACCGTCAAGGCTGCCTCTCCCCAGACGACTCACCACAGCCTTCATATGCTCTTCTGGAAGACACCACCGAAAGATGAACCTTGAACCCAGATGGAAGGGACCCAGAGCTGTCCTCCTGTACTGGCTTCCTGTTGGTGCTCTCACACTGCCCCAGAGGCTCTGGCTTAAAACAACTCAAGTTTATCTTTGGACACTTCTGGAGGGCAGAAGTCTGAGTCCGTTTTGTTGGGGGAATGTCAAGGTGCTGGTTCCTCCCGGAGGTTCTGGGAGAGGAGTTGCTTCCATCTCTCCAGCCATCACTTCTCCTGCCCGCTGCTTCCTCCCCTGACCTCCTCGTGTCCCTCCCATGAGGACCCTGATGACGAGGGCCCATCCGGATCATTCAGGACAGTCTCCCCATCTCAACATCCTTAATTTAATCATGTCTGCAAAGTCCCTGGCAACCATGAGGGAAACATCCACAGTTAAAGGGATTAGAACTCCCAAGGTCTCCTGGGAACAAATATATTTCAATCCTAGTCTGCACATTTTCAGAATGGGAGGAGCTCTTCCCTGTCATTGGCAGGGGGCATTACTCAGCCTACTGAGTCACCAAGGACACAGAAAAGTTACAAGCACAACCTTGGGTTCATGTTTCACAATTTTAAAAATGCAAGTCTCATTCCAAGTGGAAATCTGCCCCCAGCCAAAAACCTTAAACTGAGGTTCTTGCAAGAGCCCCCAGACACAGAATAACATGAAGTCAACTTACCTCCAAAACCAGCAGAAGACTTGGATGACGTGAAGTGGTCAGCTTCACCCGGGCCACTGAGACAAGGCCCTCCAACACTCCGTACTTAATCCTACACCTCCCTTCCAGTCCTTCCGCCTCTAACCCACCTTCCCTTGACACCAGCAACCTAAGATGACGTTGCCCTGTGCCATCCTCAACGTCCTGTCTCCCAGGCAGCCCCACCATGCAAAGAGGAGATAGACCAGGCACGATGGCTCATGCCTGTAATCTCAGCACTTTGGGAGGCTGAGGCAGATGGATCACCTGAGGTTAGGAGTTTGAGACCAACCTGGCCAACTTGGTGAAACCCCATTTCTACTAAAAATAGAAAAATTAGCTAGGTGTAGTGGCAGATGCCTGTAATCCCAGCTACATGGGAGGCTGAGGCAGGAGAATCTCTTGAACCCGAGAGGCAGAAGTTGTAGTGAGCCAAGATGGTGCCATTCCACTCCAGCCAGGAAAACAAGGGTGAAACTCCATCTCAAAAAGCAAAAACAAAAACCGAGAAACAAAAAGGAGACAAAACCCCCTTGCTTCGTATTGGTGGGCATTGCCACCTCTCATCTCCTGTCGCTGGACACACTCCCCATCCCCCTGGGTGTATTCCGGCCAGACTTGCTCCTAAGTGCCCCACATGGCTTCTAAACTATCCCAAATCACCAAATCTCCAGGCTGGCCCTGATTGATTGAACCTGAAGCTCAACATGATTCGCTTCTCTTGAAGTCTGCCAAGTCCCCTACTCCACATCCTCGGGATCAGGTGTAGAAGGCAGGGGCGCGTTTATGCCTGGTAACCCCCACTTTCTCCTCCACAACTTTCTGTCCAGCTCATAGGCTTTGTTTAATTCCACACAAGGACTCTGCCCTCCGAGAGGTCCACCCTCGGGCCTGCCTTCCACTGTGGTGGGCCAGGTGGAATCATAGGTCTAGGAAGAAAAGAGCTGACACCTTCCTCCCGCTTTTGCCTGTCCTCTGAGGCCTGGGCAATGACAGCAGCAGGGCGTCACAAGAAAGCGTGGCCCAGGAGTGCCAGAAAGCAGGGTGCAGGGGGCTGGCTGCTGAGGGAGGGGCTCGGGGCACGGATGAGAGAGCCCTCCTAGCTCCACATGTACCCTGGGAAGAGGCGATTTAGGATGGGTAGGAGAATATTGACACTGGAGTTATGAAAAAAAGGGACTGAAATGTGGCAGTTGCTTTTTCCTCCAGGCCATGGGAGACCAGTGAGCTGGTGGTGAGATCAGCCAAGTTCCCTGAGTGTCAGGGCTCAGTGGGTACATGTGCATTCCAACAAGGCCACTGTCAGCCAAAGGCAGAAACAAGCTTGGACCACCCCAGAGGGGCGCTTTCCCTTGCTGCCTGGTGCAGGAGCAGGGCTCTGTGGGGAGATTAGGCCACCTCAGGGGCTCCGTGTTTCCTGAGGAAAGATGCCCCATACAGAAGCATCAGAGGGGACTGGGTTACCGGGCCAAGGCCAGCAGTCACGACCCCTCCTGCTGAGCTGACCTTAGGCTGTGGCTATGCACGGACAGTCTGCCTCAGGTTTTCAGGGGTATGTGGCCATTCATTTCTCCTCTGTCGTGCTCAGCATGTTGGATGGTACCCAGGGACCACAGAGAGCCTCCTGCGGCGGCATTCCCATCTCTGAATTTGGACTGCTACTAACCCAAGACTCTATGGTGTTAAGGGCAAAGCCTTGTGTCAAAATTCAAAGCCACTAAATTCCAATCCTGTCAAAGTCCAATTTTTCATTAAAAGTTCTATTAGCCTTTTCCCATTAGAGTAACTTTAAATTGGTTCTTAACCCATTCTGAAATATTGATAGAGCACTGATTTGATCCAAGGTGTTTCACGGTCACGAGGCTGTCCCTGCTACTGTCACACCCCATCCTAAGGAGGAGTTTCTGCCTGTGGAGAAGCCTGCAAGGACGTTTTAAGCAATGGGAAGCAGCGATGAGCACGGAGGAGCAACGAGGCTCAGGAAGATCACTCCCACTTCTACTACTTATGAGGAAAATCTTGCTTACAAAACTGATTTTGTTCAAATCATTTCATCTCACTGTCCCTGAGGTGTTCTGCAAATTACCTTGTAAAACTGATTGATTTACAAAAGGTTAAAATAATTTAAAAATATAACATTGTTTCTCTCTGATTATAAAAATAACATAATCCCAGCACTTTGGGAGGCCAAGGCTGGTGGATCACGAGGTCAAGAGATCGAGACCATCCTGGTCAACAAAAATACAAAAATTAACTGGACATGGTGGTGCAGGAGAATTGCTTGAACCCAGAAGGCGGAGGTTGTGGTGAGCCGAGATCGTGCCATTGCACTGCAGCCTGGGTAACAGCAGTGAAACTCCGTCTCAAAAAAAAAAAAAAAGTACCATACATTTATTTTATAGGCAATGTACATGCAGAAATGACAAGGAATACTTTTACTTTTGATAGAAAAATTGTCAATACTATATTTTAAACTTTTAAAGCAGAAGGAACCGCAAATACACCTTTTAAAAACTCATAAAAGCAGCTACAACAGAAACCTTAACACACAAATGCAAATGAAAACCAATGACAGTTAGATTTGCCAGCACAGTGGCATGGTACTTAATGTGACATTTTCTCCGAGAACAATCTGAGGCTTTATAACAAAAATCTGGAGAGCAGCTTGAAATAAAATGACTTTTGGATAAACATGTGACTCCCCATCTCTGCATCATTTCAGAGACAAATATGTTTCATTATTTCAGAGGCAAAAAAATGTCTGTAGCCCAGAAACAAGTTTCCCAAACTGGCTGGTAGAACGGATCTCGAAGGCTGTGCATTCACACCTGCACCTGCTCACGGAAATAAACAGTTTCAACTAGATTCATTCTACTGAAGTTTTCTTTGTGGACTATCAAATAATATAATCAAGGCTGTGACTTCTCAGTGCATGCTAGGAAAGAAGGTGTGTTCTGTTTCAGGACACAGCGGGACACATGATGATTATTAATAGCTCTGCTTTATTCATTATGCTAGCCTGGATTACCACTTTTTTTTTTTTTTGACCATTTGCTCTCACAAGGATAAAAGGTGAATTTAAGACTCCTGTTGTGGCCAGGCATGGTAGAGCATGCCTGTAATCCCAGCCCTTTGGGAGGCCGAGGGGAGCAGATCACCTAAGATCGGGAGTTCAAGACCAGCCTAATCAACATGTAGAAACCCCGTCTCTACTAAAAATACAAAATTATCCGGGTGTACTGGCGCATGCCTGTAATCCCAGCTACTCAGGAGGCTGAGACAGGAGAATGAGCCCAGGCTGGATGAGTTTTTCATCTATGAATATTGGGCCAGGTGTAGTGGCTCAGGCCTGTAATCCCAGCATTTTGGGAGGCTGAGGCTTGTGTATCATCTGAGGTCAGGAGTTCAAAACCAGCCTGGCCAACATGGTGAAACCCCATCTCTACAAAAATACAAAAATTAGACATGCATGGTGGCAGGTACCTGCAATCCCAGCTACTCGAGAGGCTGAGGCAGGAGAATTGCTTGAACCTGGGAGGTGGAGGGTGCAGTGAGCCGAGATCACGCCATTGCACTCCAGTCTGGGTGACAGAGCGAGACTTCGTCTCAAAAAAAACATGATGACTATTATGTCCTTATAGGATATTGTTCCCATTGAATTATGAAGTTCTGTTGTTTGCCTTGTTTAGCTTTTTTATTCTGACTTCAGTGTGGTTTGAAATTAAAGTTTACGTTTTTGTTATTTTTTATTTTGCATAATTTTAAATTTACAGAAAAGTTGCAAAGACAAAAAAGATCCCTATATCCTTCCCACTCACGCAAATGTCTTACATAGCTATGGTACATTTGTCAACATTAAGAGATTAACGTTGGTACATTTCTATGAACTAAACTCCAGATTTTCCTTTGATTTTGCCAGGTCTTCTATGATGTCCTTTTTCTCTTCCAAGATCCAGCATAGGAGCCCACATTGCATTTTGTCGTTCAATTTCCTTTGCATCCTCTGTTCTCTGGCAATCCTTCAGCATTTCCTTGTCTTTCATGACCCGGACAGTTTGGAAAAGGGTTGGTCAGATATTCTGTAGAATGCCTCTCAACATGGGCTGCTCTGATGCTTCCTTGCGTTTAGGCTGAAGGGTTATGGGTTTCTTGGAAGAACCTGAGAGGTGGGGCGCTTTCTCGCTTCGTCATTTCAGGGATGCATGACTTCAGCATGACTTGTCAGCGGTGGTGGTAACAGGGCTGCCTGCCTCAGAGCTGCCGTTGCTCCCTTTCCATCCTCCGTTCTTTGGAAGCACATGCTAGTTCCTGCCAACTCCCAAGGTGGAGTAGGTGATGACCGAGCTAACGCCTCCTAGACAGGCATTTACATACATCATCGGATTCCTCTGTCAAGATTTGTCTCCTCTCCCCCTGCCCCTTTATTTATGAATTTGGTCATTCCTTTATATCTGATGGACTCACTCAGTTTAATCTACATACATGCTACAGATACAGAAATAACTGTGGGTTGTGTATGCTGACTCATGGGTTAGTCTACACACCGCCATTTCCTGGCTTTGTTTGCTAAGAGGGAACGGTGATTGCCACTGGTACACCCGGCTCCCAGGTCTTGGTTTCTAAGCATCACTCTCCAGTGGAAGGAAGCAGGCCCAGAAAGTGAGGCTTCCCGTGCTCTGGACACCAGAAATGAGAACGTGAGAGGAGCGCTGGCGCCAGCCCCAAGGAGCAATGGATGGTCAACACGGGAGCCATTTGAGCAGTAAAATAAACAGCATGGCATTGGATTGCAGCCAGGAGTATACAATATTTACATGTTGACATCTCCATACTTCCAGTCTTTTCTCTGCACACATGCACTTCCATGATACACAAACCCAAACATACACACAC